TATCGACTCAAATACACTTTGTTTTTGCGCGATCTGAAATATAATTCCTTTGCGGTGCGGCAAAATACACTTGGTTCTGGCCACATATCAATATATGTGAGTCGATATATATATATATCTGTAACTTCTCTTTCTATATATGGTCCCTATACATGGTCTGTAACTTGACTTCTATATATATCTATAATATATCGAGATCTGTAACTTCTCTCTATATATGGTCTCTATATATGGTATGTAACTTGACTTCTATATATATATGGTATGCAACTTCTCTCTATAAATATGGTCCGTAACTTAACTTATATATATATAATATCTCCATATTGACAGACATAGATCGCGCAAAGCGAGTCTCTATATATATATACCAGGTTATGTATATATTGATCATATTGCAGATCTCGCAAAGTGAGTCGGTATATATGTGATCATACAGAGAAATGTGAGAGAGATTATTTTGGACATTTTAAATTTATTAGAATGGGTAATTTAGTAATTTTGTTATTCAAAAGTGTCATGTCATAAGTTAGAGGTCATTTAGGTCATTTTATCACATGTGAGGGTGTCTTTGTCAAAGGCAGCAAAGCTGAGGGGATGTCATTGTTTAAAAATAGGTTAACTTGTATATGACTGTCAATAAAATAAACCTCAAAAAGTGTCATTATAATTAACCAAAAAATATATATATATATTTTAAGCCGAGACTCTCTTACACATCATATCAAAGCTTTTTTTGGGCCCTGGCATACTGTATGTAATTAAGTGTGCACAAAGAAATATATATATATATATATATATATATATATATATATATATGAAGTTTTCACGCTCTACAAAATTATCCTTTGCGTGAAAAACAAAAAAAACCCCTGCCAAATATTATCTCTTTCTCAAATATTGACCTATCTGCATTTGGAGGTGAACGAAATAAAACCAAACGACCAAGCAAATATTAAATCATGGTATAATTTGAAACAACATTTTGATTTTACAATATTCAGTTGAAATTAAGAAAAATATTCTTTCTTATTAAGGGCAGATCTAAAAATGGTCAATGGGCCTAATATTTGAGTGGGCTAATAACATGAGTTGTGTGTTTCTGTTGGTTGAAAATTGAGTATAACATACAGTTTTTTTTTTTTGAATGTCATGTTATTTGCAAGAACTAAATAAATAAATAAAGATTATCACTCCAAAGAATTATGGTTTCTATAATCTTTGCCTGTAATTTTTCATAACATAATTAAATATTAGCAGCAATTTGTTATGTAACATGGTTATTATTATAAGGTCTAATATGAGTAGATAGTCACCAACAAAATGGAACACCGATTTTTTATTTTTATTTTTACATTTTAATGCATTTAGTATGAAGATTAATTTTGTACATGCACTAAGTATGAAGAATCACAACACAATTTTTGCGTGGCTTTTTCATATAAAAATATCATACTCAATTTTTGCGTGGCTTTTTCATATATAAAGTATCATACTTTGTGAGAGTGATAAAAATGATTGATGGTAATTAATTTAGTTAAGCAAAAGTGTGTGCTAATGGGATATTGGAGGAAACTAATATAAAAAGGTAACTTCTAAAATGTTGGCTAATGTGGTATAGTTATCTCTCTTTTTTATTATTAGCATGCGAACGTAGATATGATGTACTGATACTTCCAAATACTGTAACAAATTAGGGACAAAAAAAAAGTACAAGACAAAAAAATACAGTGAACTTTATTTTGACCCCTATATTTGATCAATACTACAAATAGACTCCTATATTTGATCAATACTTCAAATAGACTCCTTTACATTTACAAATCTATTTTTTATTATCATGAAACATTTACAAATCTATTTTTTATTATCATGAAGACGTAGATATGGTGTACTGATACTTCCAAATAACAAATTACCAAAAAAAAGGTAATTAGAAAAAAAATTAGATAAAATATTTTATCATGTATTTAGATTAAACTCATTAGAAAGTTGGATATCAAAAGAATATTTATTAACATGAATCTGTTCTGTTTTTTTTTTTTATTTTTTATTTGTTTATGATATAACTCTTCAAGCATGCGTTATTTATTAATTTATTTTTTTATTTTATTTTTAATTCATTTACAGCCCTGGTTTGTCAACATTTCAAGGAAACTCTCACATTTACAAATCTTCTGTCAGATCCCTTATCAGTAGGGATGGTAAAATCCTCATAGCCGGCGGGTTCCCGCCCCACCTCGCCTTGTTTATGGCGGGTTTGACGACCCATTTATGTAAATGGGGAAGGAATGGGGATAGAATTTGAAACCTCGGCGGGGATGTGGTAGGGGCGGGGGAGTGTAACCCCGCCCCGCTCGTTTATAGTGCATTTTTATAAAATTGCCCTCACATGTTATAAATTATTACTAAATTACATAACTATACGAAACCCTAGATCTATTCCCTTGTAGTATAGAGAAAAAATATAATCGTTGTGCATCAAACATCTGATCATGTTTTAAATTGTTATAATTGTGCTGAAACTTTATTTAATTATTAGGTTGAAAATTTTTTATGACTGTGTTAATTTTGTTGAAGGTGAATTGGAATTTAAAAAATGTTATGCGGGACGGGGATGAGGGCTAATGTGACGGGGCAGGGTTGGGGGAGGGGGTTGAAAATTAAAAGGCAATGGGGGCGGGAATGGGAGTAAAAATTTTGACCAAGAATGGGGATGGGGAATGAGATCCCCGCCCCATCCCGCCTCATTGCCATTCCTACTTATCAGACATTGTCGGTTGACAATACCAAATGAGTGATTAAAATGACTAATTTACCCTTTTTTTTGTTATTTTCCCATATAACCGTTAACCAAACTCTTTTTATGTAACTCCTACCAATGACTATCCTATCTGTCTAACCAAACACATTTTATTCTTCTAAAATATAAAAAAAGCCACATGTATATTTTTTTTTCCCTAAATAAAATATTATTGATTTGTCTGTCCCAAATCGCGTAAGGCAAGTTTTAGGGTTGAAACGAGACCAGTGACGAGAGACAACGGTGATGAAGAAGAGGACAACGGCAGACCGGCGATGAAGAAGATTACAGCGGCAGACCGCGAGCTTGAAGGATACATATGGTTGAATTTATGGTTTTATTAGATAATTCTAGTGCTATATTGATGAGAATGATGGAATTGATGAGTTAAATTGAAATGTTGGGGTCGGATTCGAGGAGCTTGTCGGCGATGAAGAGCCACCACTTGGCCTCTGCTCTGCTGCTGCTGTTGGCCGCGGCGACAGAGGTGTGTAGGCCGACGAGCTTTGATGTCTGACCGGTGAGGAAGCAGCGGCGAGAATAGTAAAAGAAAATTCCGGCGTTTTTTTAGAAATTAATTTATTATTAAAACTTTATTATTTATAATAAAGCTTTTTATGCTCACTATAAACTTTTATATCATAAAAAATACCTTTTTCAGTTGCAATATATTCAAAAAAAAAAATAATAAATACTTAAATAAAAAATACCCTTTTTTTATGTAATAAATTCATTAAAAATTAAGAAATTACTTAAATTGTTTTTAAATTTTCTAGTTATGAAATTTAATTTAAAAAATTAAAGGTAAATCTATACAAATTTAATGAAGAATATGTTATCAAATTAATATGAATTTTTTTTCATAATTTATTTTAATAAAAAAAATAGATTAAGTTTGATGAAAGGGTACTATGATCATTCAATAAGAAAGTGTATTGGATCATTTTGTAACTAAATGTGATAGTTTAAGGGGTTGTATGCATAAAATATAGGGAATGGATCATCTCCAAAGAAAATTTTCTTCTATCATCTCCAAATATTTTACTCCGGCCCCGCCCAAAACCGCTTAAACGCGGGACCTTTCCATCCATCCTTGACCCGTTTAACTTTTTTTTACTCCCACACCCGCCCTGTTTAGTTCCAGAATTTCTCATTCTTTTTAAATTTTTTTCCTTAAATACAATTATATAATTATTAAAAAAATAATAAAAAATGGGTAGTAAATAATTTAACATAAAAATCAAGAGTATGAGAGTTTTTAGTTCGTAATCTTTGCCACTCATTAGAACGGTTGAGAAAACGAATGAATGGATGCGTAATAGTTTGGGAGTTCAACGCACATGTCACTTTTTGAGGTTAGAACTTAGAAATCCTTATTTACTCATTTTTCATATTATAAAAGTGAGATTTAAACATTAAAGATATTATTTGCACACATTTCAAATTACAGATGGTTTTGTTTTGCACTTCACCCCTTTTATAACTAAAGTATGATAAAAGACCGAATTCCTTTGATTGCATGGAATAAATAGCTTTCTCTATTAAATATAAAATCATATTTACTATCAATTATCTCACCAAAAAAAAAAAAAAATGGATTGAAAAAGACACTTTAACAAAATTTGAATAGAGAAATCTAATTAGTAAATTTGGATTGCAAAAAGTAAGAAGAATAATTTTTAAATAAAAATTACAAAATATTCTTTTATATTATTTAGTACTCCATCTGCCTCAAATTATAATGAGCAGCCTAAGTATTTCCCAAATCCGTAAGTTTGTCTAAGTTGTTGCCATTTTGTCCTACATACGTAATTAACAATTACTTTTCGAGAAAAATAAAGGGAATGAAATGAACAAGGATACATCAAACGTGGTCGTTTGTACTGCTGCTATTTGCACTTGTACTGTCTTCTTAACCTTTGCTTCAGCCAACGTGAACTCATCATCACAACCCTAGAGGAGGAGTAGATATTACTGGTTCAAGAGCACCCAAGATTAAGGATTAGGTGAGTTCCTCTATCACATTTCATCTGCAATGATTTATATATACAGTAAAATACTAGTTCGTTCTAGTTTCTCTTGTTTTCTATATTCAAGAATCCCTAAATTGTATGCCCTTCAAACCCATCCACTGTCTTCGTCTCTCAAATCCATCTCAACTTCCACAAATCAACACATATTTACAGTCAATTACCTGATGAATTCGTGTGGGTTGAGTCCAAAAACTGCCATTTCAGCTTCCAAACGCGTCAATTTCAAAACCCTAGAAAAACCAGATTCGGTTCTCAACTTCTTCAAGAACCATGGATTGAGCAAGACCCAGATCTCAGATCTCATCAGAAAAGAATCAGAACTTCTCTTATATGATCCCAATAAAACCCTTTTGCCCAAATTCGACTTCTTCTACTCCACTGGCATTTCCCGCACTGATCTCGCGAAGGTTGTATCCAATTGCCCAAGCATTTTGAGACGTAGCTTGAAGAACCAAATCATACTGTCTTTCAATTTGTTGAAGAATCTATTTCATTCAGATGATAAGTTTATGGCGGCCTTTAAACGATTCCCTGGGATAATACTGTTTGATCATAGTGCTATTACATTCCCCAACATTGAAATTTTGAGACAACATGGCGTGCCAGATTTGAGTATTGTGCACTTACTTACTAATCAGCCTAGGTCACTCATGATGCTAAAGCCTGATAGATTCAATGAGGTAGTGGAGGATGTTAAGAAAATGGGTTTAAACCCTTCAACATTACAATTTGTTAGGGCAGTTTATGCATTGACGTCAATGAGCAAATCAACATTGAAAAGGAAGATGGAGGTTTACGAGAAGTGGGGTTAGTCTAAGGAAGAAAGAATGTTGGCTTTTACAAGAGATCCGCGGTGTATGACCATATTTGAGGAGAAGAGAACGGCGGTGCTGGATTTTTATGTCAACACAGTGGGGTGGAAGTCTTCCCTAATTGCCCGTCATCCTATATTATTATCAATGAGCTTGGGAAAGAGGATAATTCCTAGGTGTTCGGTGCTTCAAGTTTTATTGTTGAAAGGTTTGCTTAAGAAACCCATTAGTGTAGCCACATTGTTGATTGGGACAGAGAGTTTGTTCCTTAAGAAATTTGTGACCTCTTATGTGGAAGCTCCTCAATTGTTGAAACTATATCAAGAAAAATTGGACCTTGCAAAATAACATGGTCATGATTATGAAGGTAAGAGTGGAGCTTATCAGTTGTGAATTTTGTACTTTCTAGTTGAACTGAAGTGGCTTACACATCCCCTGTTCTTTTATGCTTTCATTTCCACCACCTGCTATCACACCACCAACTTTTCGAATTAGGTCTTTATGAACAATATTTTTCGTTGGATTTTAAATATCTCAATTAGACTTTTTTGGCAAGTGTTTATTTTGTTTCATTAGAAAATTCTTCAGAGATTTTGTGCTGCTTTAAATCTTCAATGCTTCAAGTATGGATTACATGTTATTCAAAATTGTAATCATGTATGCATTTAGCTGAATGATTTATTAATTTTGTGCAACTCTAAATTTGCGAGATCATCTTAATCTTTAATTTGAAGCATATAAACTGAATATATAAGAGTCATTTTACTTGATGAAGAGTATTGCATTTTATTCATATAATTGAAGATGCTCTAACCACATTCCAAAGTGGCCATAGTTGACGTACATCACTATAAGTAACTGAGTGGCATGCATCAATAATCTATAAATAGCCAGCAGGATAAATAACTGAGTGGCCATGCATCACTAATCTAGCCCAAGGTGCATTTATTTGAGATGTGTTTCAAGTGTTATCCATGTTTATCACTTGCGAGTTTCGTGTACAACATTTGGAATGAGAGAAATAATGCATTTTCAGAAACGAGTCCTCCCTTCCAATGGTGACTCCGAACTCAGTTAAGACTTGTCTTACACATCATATCAAAAGGTTTTCTTTTTTTCTTTTCTTAGAAATGATTTGGATACCCCGGCATATGGTGTAATTAAGTACACAAAGAAAAAAAAAAATCAACAAAAATATGAAGTTTCACACTAGACAAAATTATTCTTTGCATGAAAAATAAAGAAACACCAAAGGATTATTTTGTCAATATTAAATCATGGTATAATTTGAAACAACATTTTGTTTTTACAATATTCAGTTGAAATTAAGAAAAATATTCTTCCTTATCAAGGCGGATCAAGAAATTGTCAGCGGGGACTAATATTTAGATGGGCTAATAGCATGAGTTGTGTGTTTCTGTAGGCTGAAGATCGAGTATAACGAACACTTCTTTTTTTTTTTTTGAATGGTATGTTATTAGCAGGAAATAAATAAATAAAGATTATCACTCCAAAGAATTATGATTTCTATAATCTTTGCCTGTACATAATTAAATATTAGCAGCAATTTGTTATGTAACATGGTTATTGTTATAAGGCCTAATATGGCTGACCATGGTGAATCCTAATTTCTGATTTTGTACACGCACTTAGCATGAAGATGAAGAATCACAACACAATTTTTGTGTGGCTTTTTCATATATAAAGTATCATACTTAATTTTTGCGTGGCCCTATCATACTTTGTGAGAGATAAAAATGGTGATGGTAACTAATTTAGTTATGAAAAAGTGTATGCTAGTGTGATATTGGAGGAAACTAATATAAGGTGGGAACTTATTAAAAGTAGGCTAATGTGGTACAGTTACAAAAGTAGGCTAATGTGGTACAGTTACAAAACTTACCTCTCTACTTTTCATATCCACGAAGACGTAGACATGATGTACATACTTCCAAAAATCGAGAATTTGGATATCAAAAGAAGTATTTATGTTGATTTCCCACCCTCATCTATATAGAAGGTAGTTTTGAGATTTTAGAAATGAATCAAATGACTCTTATATATCCCTTAATTTCCTTGCAGATTTCAAATCAAACCCTTCTATTTGGCTAAGCCTTCCTCGTGAGTGCATCAAAATTGATAAACACATCGTTAACCATTACCCTATTATACAAGATTTAAAAAAGTTAATTTTTTTTACACGGTTAAAAAAATGTAATTGGTCTATCCAACGCTTGGCCTCTTTCAATGAAATAAAGAGGAGCTAAAAAGTTTACTCACAAGGACCATAGCCAACAAATGAATGAATTTGCTTAAGTTGTAAAAACAAAAGATAAACTTAGTACCACCCACAAAACAAATATATGCCGTAAACTTCATGTTAAAGGCTGCAGAAGTGCAAAAAGAGACTAGGATACACATTGATAGGCTCAAACTCCTCTTCTGAGAAGTCAAAGTACTATTGATACACAATTATTTAAAAAGTCAAAGTAAGGTAACATTACCGATTTAAATTTTTTGTATTAGACTTATAAAAAGTAAACCATCACATTTCTATTGATCCACTATAGATAACTTGGTAATTCATGCACTACCGTTATAATAAAAAAAAAAAACACTAAAACTCATTCTCTTAAAAAAATTAAATTTGGACATTGAATTTGGGACAAAAGTAATATCAGAGTTGATTCAAAGGAAATTGATTCATAACACGGTCACTGCTAGATTCATTATCCGAGTCCTCTTTTATAACTTCCAGTGCAAGGTTTTTATCATTCTTAGTTGGAAGGAGTATTTAATTCATAAATTTGCAGTGATCAATATTCATAATTTGATCTATGTTTTTGTTTTCTTCTATAGTAGAGTAACTTTAACTTTAAATCTTTTTGAAGTGATTTTATAATTTTTCAAACCACTTTAGATTCGGGAATACGTTCACTTAACGTAAAGCATTTATTCACAATATAGACAATTTTATATGTAAATAGAAATAGTACTTTTAAGTATAAAACATATATTAAGTCAATCCATAAGAGTAATGTTAGTCTTGACATGATATATGGTTAGTTGTTATTGAAAAATATATTTTCACATAAAATGTATAAAACAATCGACTGAAGGTAAAAATAAATAATCTAAAATATTTGTGTAAATGTATTATGACACATATGATTTACACAAAAACACAAAAATATATATATAAACGGTTGAAAATGCTCTAATTGACACACTCGGGTAGTAACACAATAGGATCATCCGATCACAAATATCTCAGTACACAAAGAATGACCTAGAAGATGGTGAATAGGTCAAGTAAGACTTTTATAATTAAAGTAGGAAAAAAGACAAATATGAATTCACAATGAAGATCAAATAAAATAGCTTACCTTCTTTCAAATCAAATGATCAATTATGTCACAAGAAAGGTTAAATTAATTGACTATATTATATATTGAAAAATAATTTTAACTATATTTGAATACAATAATCTAATTAGTAACTTTGCATTTCAAAAAGTGAAAAGGGTTAAGTAAATATTACTAAACATTATTTTGTATTAATATATTACATAATGAAATGTCACTTTTTTAATTTTTGCTTAAGTTTTGAGCTGCCGCAAGTATTTCTTAATATTATCGTGCTTTAATTTCAATCCAACCAACTATATTACCTTTGAGGGCGGGGCCTTGCCCATCCAAAGTCCTTAATTCTGTCCAAGATTTGTTGCCATTTTGACCTATACTTGTAATTAGATCAAAATTTAAACCCATCGTTTGCTCTTTATTTGCAATTATAAAATTTCAAAATATATTTATTAAATAAATTATTTCTTTTGTTAAGATCCAAGAAAAAAAAAAAAAAAAAGGTATGAAAAGAAGAGGATTAAAAAAAAAATTATCTCTATTGAAAAAAAAAAAGAAGTTAACTTTGTTGAATAAATATTTGTATATATAAAAATAAAAAAAAAATTCACTATGGAATAAATTAGATCTTTTGACTGTCAAAATTAAAATTATTTGCATGGAATAAATTATTTTTTATGAGAGAATTTCTAGAAAACAAAAATAAAGGAATAATAATAATAATAAAGAAAATAAATATGGTACAAAAAAGTTAAAGTTGTATAAAGGGTAGTTGACATTAGAAATTAAGAAATGGTACATTAATGAATTCAAGAATTGTCAATTTTAATTCTTCAAAACATAATTAAATATTAGCAGTCAATTTGTTAAGTAACCATAATTAATTTGTTATTGTCATAAGGCCTAATATGGCTGACCATGGTGAATCCTAATATCTGAAGACTCAGTAAATAGTCACCGACAAAAGGAATATCTGAAGACTCAGTAAATAGTCACCGACAAAAGGAACACGGATTTACATTTTAATGCATTTAGTATGAAGATTGATTTTGTACATGCACTTAGTATGAAGAATCACAACACAATTTTTGGTGTGGTTTTTTCATATATAAAGTATCATAGTGATAAAAATGGTGATGGTAATTAATTTAGTTAAGAAAAACGGGAGCTAGTGTGATATTGAAGGAAACTAATATAAAGAAGCAACTTATAAAATGTTGAAATGAATTCTTCTCTCATTCTATTCCTAGTTGTTACAGTAGGACAGAGCCAATCATTAGTTCCCAACCATGGGGCAAATGGAATAGAAAAAGCTTTTATTGTGTCGCTTAAGTTATATAAGAATTCCTGAGTCCAAGAGTTAAGAATAAACGTATATTGTATCATGCACCTTAATCTCCTGTCATTTACGCCAGTCATAACCCTCAAAACTTAACAACGCCACACAATTTTGAGTCAACCCTCAAAACTTAACAATGTCTGACTCTTCTATTTGACTAAGCCTTCTTCGTGAGTGCATCAAAATCCAACCCTGCCTCTTTCGAAATAAGGAGGAGCGAATTTGCTTAATACAAAACAGGACCATAAGCTTTAGGATTTGATTCCAACTAAATATTAATGTTGGCGGCAGAAGTGCCGGGAGAGTCACTAGATAGTACCATCACGGTTAATGGCAAATGCCCATTAACAGCTTTGGAAAATATACTTTTAGCTTTGGAAAATATATGGCTGCGGGCAATGACATGAGGCCAAGGATCCCAACAAAACCACCACTCAACCCTAAAAAATTACAGGTACAACCGTATATAATACAATTTCCATTTCATCTCTACAGGGACATTGAGTTTACAGAGGGGTGTAAGATTTCTAGAAACAATGAGATAACAACCTTATTAACAAACTTTGGGAAGAGAGATCAGATTTTAGGTCTAATGAAGAGCCTTAGTGGAAAACCATGACCTGGTTTTGAAGATGTGATAGATGAGGATTCGATTGTGTCCGAAAAAAAAGAGTTAATCAACCGGATAAGCTCAACCGTTCCTCCAGCCACGAATAAATTAAGATTGATTCAAATAAAAATAAAAAAGCAAACTTAACCATCTAATAAAACTGCAGTAATTTGGGAAAAAACCTGTCTATAAGTTCATTGCAGGCAAAAAAGAAACACACCAGCATAAGAGTTAAGAATATAAAATTCCAAACCCATCATTACAATTTTCTTGAAACACTATTGAACAGCATAACACAAAAAGAAAGTTCTCTCAAACAAATGCCTCAATTAATATAGCTCCCACCATTGAGCTAATTTCACAGATCTTGCACGCTCAAACCTGAAAATGCAAATGAACAGATATAGTTTTAGACAATTCACTGCACTATCAATGCAATCAAAAGAGAACATCGAGATACAGTCACCAGTGACACCTAATGCTACACAACAAGGGGAAGTGACAATTCAATCTTTTTCTAGTACATAACTAAGCAACATCAACTTCAAAAATATAAGATATGTGACAAAGACTAATGACATCTCGGTTAGTCCTCTGAAGTTTCTAGATGACAAATTTCCTCCCCTTCCACCCTTCCAAAATCTAATGAACTCCCAAATAAATTAGTGGTATTTTGGTGCAAGATTAAAACTGCCAGCTGATGTTAGCCATTTTAACCAGGTATATATGCCATGTTGAATCCATGACCCCCTAAAATACATACTTGGTTCAATGGGTCAGTAAACATACATCCTGTGCATAAACATGTGTTGTGTGTGTGTGCGCGCATAAAATCCACAGGTCAACCATACTACAATCCATAACATCAAACATTTTTACTTTCTACAACAGTTACATCATCAACGAGATAAATCAAGTAAAATTTCAGCAGTAAGAAAAAGTAACTAACCTGGAGGGAGAGATTGCTTCAACTTGTCAGCCTTCTCTGAGTCGAAAACACAAAGTGTGTACAGGTACTTGGAGCAACGGACCTTGAACTTCACAACATCTTTGCTCCTCTTGATTTTCACGGAACGTGCATCCTTCCTTCTCGCGGTAAGGAGGAAATCCTTGATCTCATGAATTTGCTTGGGCTGAGCATTATAAACAAAAGGAAACAGTTAGCATCAAAGTACATTCCTAAACTTAACATCCCCACCATCCACCCCAACAAGAAAAGGAAAAAGAAAAAAGAAGAGTAGAATGACATCCAAAGTGAATTTGAATATCCACATTAATTTTCCTAATATCAGCATAATTGTTACTATTATTAATATCCAATAAGTGAAATCACTAATTTCAGTATCCAATGGGACCAAGCTAGAACAGAGACCAAGTAACAATTGTTATTATTTAATACGTGCATTCACTAATTTTAGTATACAATGGAGCAAAGTTAAAACAGAGATAAAGTAACATTATTAGTATCATTGAGCAAGTAAAATCACTAAATTAAGTATATAATGGAACAAAGCTAAATCTATTAAACAGATACCACCATAAAAAACATAAACTATTATAGTATAGCTTGTATTTATATTTTCATATTATAGAATGTGAACAAGATTACCCAAAAGAACAATGAAGTGTGCCTAACAGCAGCTCCAAGAATTTAACAAAATAATGTCTTTTAGGTAAGATAGTGTGCAATATTGGTATTTCAATCATTTTGAACAATTAATATAATAAAATTGAATTAATAGACATTGTTTTCAGGTGAATTGTCGAATCATTATAGATCAATATCCATACTTGATATCCTGTGAGAAAACTGGGTTAAATTTATAGCATCAGCGTATAAGCCTAAATTTTTCATTTTCCCTGAAGTTTTTCTTAAAAAAAAAATAATAAAAAAAAAATAAAAAATTATCCATCAAACCAGTGCCTCTGGTAAATTCATAGATCATCACTATACATAAATACACACATATTAACATGGTTAAATACACCAAAAATAACTTGACATGAGAACATAATATATGAATAAACTCCCATAATCAGCACGAAACCTTCAAATGTATAAACCCTAAACAAAGCTAAAGTTGAATCTTCCGTTAAGCTATCAGAAACACTAATTATATATAAATAATGTTAAAATATCATGGATTCTCAAATTAAATCCGATAAATAGATAAGAAACTTGTCAATTCCTAAGTTATAAAGGAAAATCTGAAAGTAACTAGAGAGAGAGAAAGAGAACCATTTTGGCTTCTGAAACAGAGATTTCCGCAGAAGCTTGCACGTTCCAAAACCCTAGCTGTATAGGTCTGTGGCTCCTCTGACTCTGAGAATATATATAGGTAGGGTTTGGGAGCAAGTGTGTATTCGATGTTAGGTTTACATGAGGAGGGCACATGGCCCAACTTGTCAAACAACTATTACAATGGGCTCACAGTGTTGGGCCCAATTCATAAATTTTAAAAAATACTAAGTCTACGTTAGGCCCAATACACTCGTATTTTAAAAAATACGTGTGTTTGGTGAGGGTTATATTAAGATACTTGTCACTTCCTCGATCCGTCCCTTTTCTCCAAGTGTAAACGTTATTCTGTCTTTAGGAATTTAAGATGGATTTTTCTTTTTTCTTTTTTAAGAAAATACATAAATTTTTTGGTCATATGTGCGGATTGTCACGGGTAGGTTGGAGTGGAAATGTCTTCCCATTTCAAGAATTTTGTAGATTATTTTCATAATTGTAATATATATATTTTTCTTATACTGAAAATAAAATTTAACTTCTCAATTAGAAATTCAGATTTAATATTATTGTAAAAACAACAAAATAAAAAATAAATAAAAATTCTAAAATAAGAATAATACAAAAGGATATTTGGTTATTAAAATAGTATTAATTAGAATTTGTTTAATATATACCTCCTATTATTAATATAAAATAAAATATAAACACAAATTGTAATTTATTACTATAAACGGGACGGGATGACCCTTTTCCCATTTCCGTCCTATAATTATGCAGATTTTTAATCCTAATTTCCAACTCCGAAACTATTTAATCACCTCATAACTGTTCTAAATGGGCCAGGTATTTTGGCATTCATAGTCATATGGTCTAATTTGGATATTTGACTAACTGAAATTTGTACAAGGCTTACTAAGACCCAAATGTTTTGGGGAACGGATCCTCTTTAATAAAAATTATCTCCAAATATCTACAGGTATTAATCCTATGGCTACTAAGACGACACGTCAACAACTTTTTTGACTCACTAAATATATTAAAAGTTACTGCACTTTCTTAAAATATCTAACTATGTTAAATTACAGATTTACCCATATTAAAAAAAAAACTTTTTTATCCTTTCTCGTCTCTTCGTTCTCTCTCCTATATATATATATATATATATATACACACGCGCGCGGCTAGAACAAACCCAGTTTGCTCCTTTTCTTGATCTGCCATTGACAACTCTCTCTCTCTCAAACCTCCTCTTTCTTTCTTTATTTCTATGTCGTTCCAGAGAGTTGTGTGTATCATCAAATTGGGTTCACAGGAATCCATTGAAAAGTGGAGAAAAAAATGCTTCAAACCTTCAATCAACAAAACTGTTCAAGCTTGAAACCTTCAAACCTTCAATCAACAAAACTGTTCAACCTTGAAACCTTCAAATCAATTAATAATTCTAATGCTTGGTGATGGCAATCAACAAAACTGTTCAAACTCTTAAATATATATTATTGGAGAACTATAATTGAATTTCCTAAATAGGATATAAATACAAGTTGAAGGATCATAATCAATTTTTATTGGAATTGACAAAAATAAAAAATAAAAAATTGATTCAACAGTAAAGAAGAGAGTTGAATTGTAGATAATCTGTATATATATATATATATATATATATATATAGGAGAGAAGAAAGAGAGGAGAAAAAGAAAAAAAAAAAATTAATGTGGGTAAACCTATAATTTAACATAGTTAAATATTTTAAGAAAGTGCAGTAACTTTTAATGCCTCAGTAGTCGTAGGATTGATACACGTACGTAAATGCTTGGAGAGAAATTTTATTGGAGAGGATCCTTTCTAATTTTTTCAACCCCAATTTTTTTCCAAAACCTATTAATGATAATTATTTATAGTTATTGGCGGTGATTTTGAATTGGAAAATTAAAGTTAGCCTCCTAAAATTCTTTAATTCGCACTTATAGTTACTTATTTATGTTAATTAAAGGTAGTTTGCTAAAGAATCACTTGTAAACCCCATCAAAGTCCATTAAAGAATTACACGTATATGTAAAACCCCATCAAGGTGGTCTTTGCTAGCCAATTGTATGCCAATCTCGAATTCTTACCATCACTACAAAGTCCCTGAGTGTTACATATGTAATTTTTTTTTATTATTTGAAGAGGGAGGAGAAAGAATGCTAGACAATTGATAAGCTCATTTATCACTCCAGCTGATTTGGTCGAATGTAATTAGGACACTTGTCTAAAAAATTTTAAAAATTTAAAAATAGACATTACCCATTTCGTACGGATTAAACCCTTTTCTTCTTCTTCTTTCCATAACTTTTTTTTTGGTCTTCCCTTCTTAATCACAATCATCTACCTCTCTCTCTCTCTCTCTCTCTCTCCATAGCAAAACAAACCCTTTTTTTAGCCCTAATATTATTATATAGCGATCTCCGTTTTAACCCTAATATTATTGTATAGCTATCCTTTTTCTTTTCCTTTTTTTTTTTTATTGTAAATTTTATGTTCTTGATATACCGATAGATGATTATTCAATGAAAATTAATAAGAAAACCTCATTGCTTTGCTCCAAAAATAAAAGTTTTGATCAACTCCATATCAATCAAGAAGGAGAGATGGTTATTGGTTGAGAGGATACTTTGGATTCAATCCATGATGTGTGTTTCTAAGTTTGCAAGAAATAAGGCCAGCTATCTTGATTTAGAAGGAAAGCTAAAAGAAAAAAAAAAATGGAAAAAAAAAAAAAAGAGTAATGCCCATCTTTAATTTTTTATTTATTTTTAGACAGGAGTAACTGGGATGAACTTCATCCTCCTAAGAAGTATTGCCTTTTATTTTTCTCATTCTAGTTCTGGATATGCTCTTAAAATTTTACATTAAAAATGCACCCAAACTAAAATAATTACAATTATTTTATTTTATTTTATTTTTAAAACTTAATCTTATATTACTATTTCGGCCCCCCCCCCCCCAAATAGAGATTCTTGGCTCTGCCCTGGTGACTTGAGAACGGTTCCTCATATAGTCTATCAACTTTATATGTTTAATCTTTAAGTTGGTGGAAACGTCTATTTCTTAATAATTGATGAACATGCATTGTTGGTTCACCATCTTTACTTTCTCACTTTAATAATTTTTTTCCCATTTTTTTCTTTCTCACTCTTTTTTTTTTTTTTTTTTTTAAAAATATATATATTTATTAATAATTACTCAGAAAACTAAAAAGCACTGAGCCCTACCAATGTCCCAATTCGATAGGAGATACGTGAAATTCACAATGTAAAAGCATAGAAGTGAATTAATGGTTGTGACACTTGAGTGTGAGTATATATATATATATATAGCGATAGAGATATTTATTTGTTATGAAGTTTTGTAAAATAGATAAGAAGAAATAGATTCAAGACTAGTTTAGCACTAGTCATATCTAAAATCTAGAAAAGTTATTTTCCACTATGTAATGTTGGCCTATGGCATTTAAAAAGTCCATATATGCTATTCATATCACTAGACAAGAAGACAACCATGGGATTCAGTTGGTGTACTTCTGCTTGCCACCAATCTCTTTTCATAGGCCCCTCTTCTCTTTCCCAATTTATTTTTTTATTTTCTTATTCTTTTTCACCCGACAAGGTAGGGGAGAAGACATATGGCCGGAAATGAGTCAACCTAGACACTCACACGATTCAAGGAATGCCTTTACTAACTGGACTACCCAACTCATCCTCATTTATCAATTTATTTAGTGTACGTATATATCCTCCCAAGACTTTAAACCCTTACCTACAGGGTGTAGCGGTATTGCCCGAGTGATAAAAGGGTCAGGCCTAAAGTGCCCCCACTTTATTAGTCTTGGGTACCACTAAACCTAATAAAAAATATTATATGGCGCTGATTTTCCCTAAGGAATGTTGTACTAGACCTGTGAAGGATATTATATAGTTCCAAATAAATAAGGTTGCAAGGTGATTGCTATCAAATACGAACATTTTTGCTTACATTTATCAGCTCAATTATTTTCTATTACGTGAGCAATGACTCCTACTCATGCATGCAATGTGTTTGTATTTATATTTATCATGTAATGAATTTTTTTTTTTTTTTTTTTTTTTTTTTTTTTTTTTTTTTTTTTTTTTTGATGTTTGATGGGATTTTGAATCTTGTTGTCTACTCCATGGAGGATCCCAAATAATATTTATAAATCTAATGTATATACGGATAAACCCTATATGCCATAGTACCACATTCGACTCAATTATGATTCACCAGAGTACCATCATAAGCTAGGAAGAAATATCCTCTTCCCCAATCTGGTTCTACTATTCTAATTCATAAAAGAGAGATTTATGTCCCGTGGTTGTGTCTACAATGAACCCGGGAATCGGTTGAGAAAAATCATCTTTCGAAATATCCAGACACGTACATATATGTATTCAAGAGTTGGTGGTTTAATATAAAGTATCTCTTCTCTTTTTGAAGTGAAAGGTACTTAAATTTTCTCAAAAAATATTCTGCGAGTATATATACTTATATATAGAATCATATGAATTTGCTATCTATTAAAATATAGAACTAAATGCCGATGCTCTAAGCTTTTTGGAATAAGTAGAATATTGGATGCAAAAAAGGCATAAAAAAATATGCATTCTATTAAAAAAAAAAAGAGTTTGTGCCATATTATAAGTCAACAATTTCGACCGAGATCCTCAGCTTATAAAGTTAGGGATTTTGTCCGAAGGCTCTGATTGGCGCAATACAAGAGAGTGGCAGAGTAGTTGGGTCCCGCTCCCTTATATTTGGCCAATCAGTGTCTTCGGCCAAAATCTTCAGCTTATAAAGCATTCAAAAAAAAATAAGAAATATCATGACTGAAAAAGAAACATGATTTTAACGACCTTCTTTTATCAAAAGTAGGGCTTGTTCATCTTTTAAGTGTTTCCTTTCACTCATATTGGTTGAATAACTTCTTACAATAAAGAATACAAACTTATATATAGGGGATCATCATTGGTTTCTTTAAGGCTTCATTATCAGATTTTTTTCAATAGATTCATCTTTAGATGTTGTATTTATCTCCAAGCTGTTCACTCAAATCCTAGCCATTTGAACCATTTTTTAGGTTGTGATAGCATTCATATATACTAATACAATCTCTCACTTCCTCAACCAATAGCTGTGATTAGGCAAGATGAACGCAAGATTCCATTAATAAATTGTAGTATAGACGTACCATTAATGACATGGTATCTTATATACATATGCATTTACATATATACATAATTATATATACCATACAGAACCTAGTAGCTAGCCTGCAACACATTATCAGACAGTAAGTTACAGATCCCATCAAACTATATATATATATATATATATATATATGAATAAGTAATTAGACATATTACTATATATGAATGTTTTAAGAAGATGATTCATAAACAAAGATAGAAGCAATTTACAGATCGATCCCATTAACCTAAAACACCAATCATTTATGATTGAGTACTTAATTGATATATCTAGCTAGCTAGCCACTTACACCTACTTACTATATATATATATATATATGGGTTGAAAGAAAAGGATGTTACTATAGGCCAGGAAGAACATGATTATCATCTATACTTCACTTTAATGCATACATGCAATAATTGATCTGGATAAACGTACAAGTGATGGATATATGAGAAGGAACACATGCATTATCAGACAATAAGTTACAGATCCCATCAAACTATAAATATATAACTAACTATATATATATGAATAAGTAATTAGACATATTACTATATATGAATGTGAAGAAGATGATTCATAAACAAAGATAGAAGCAATTTACAGATCCCATTAACCTAAAACACCAATCATGTTTTGAGTACTTAATTAATATATCTAGCTAGCTACTTACACCTACTTACTATATATATATATATGGGATGAAAGAAAAGGATGTTACTATAGGGAAGAACATGATTATCATCTATACTTCACTTTAATGCATACATGCAATAATTGATCTGGATAACCAAGTGATGGATATATGAGAAGGAAAAGGACTTAAAGCAAACAATCCAAATGGGAAAAGGGTTGAGATGGAATTTATAAAAGAGGCACAATTGCAAACACTTTCAAACAAGAACAAAGTTAGAAAAAGCAAAAGAAAGCAACACACAAACTCCCAACCGCAAAGCATAAGAAATTAAAGTTGGACCAAAGAAACAACAAGAAGGTATTAATGGAGAAGATGATTAATAAGAAAAACAGAAAAGAAAGAAAATAAAAAGGAAATCTTTCTATGTTCATATATGGCTTCCATATATCTCCAAATATAATAAAAACTCCATGCTAAGAGCTTGACTTGATTGTAGCAATGTTGTCCTGACCATTCTATCTAGGGTTTCCATGCTGAAGCCCATACTACTGGTTCCTCTTTCCATGTCAAGTAGATTCCTGAGCCTTGATCTCCTTGTGGCAGCAAATGAGACCAACCGGCTCGGTATCTCTTTAGCAGCGCCTTGACATCATCAACAACATCGTCGCTGAATCCAACTGGTGAAAAAACCTCCTTGAGCCTCCTACACCATTGGCTTCCTCTCTCTCTCCTCTCAGTACAGTCTCCCAAACTGTCTATTTCATCATGATCATCATCACAAGCTAAAACCCTAACTATGCTCCTTGAACACTCCTTCTCCAACATCAATCTCTCATTACTAGTGGCGCCAAAGCTCTCCTCCAGCATCTCAAAGTACAATGTGTAGAATCTAAGGCACTCTTCGAAGCACTGCATGAAATCATCATCACTAGAGGTGCCAAAATCAGCTTCTTCTTCAACAACTGTCACAACCCGAGGCCCAAACGATCTGATCATCTGAATCACGGACTCCCTTTGCTTCACTTCAACATTTCTCAAGGCCCCAACACAATTCACTGCGATGGCTTCGCCTTCTTCAATCCGTAAACACTCTTTTGTGAGCTCTCCCAAGTGATTCAGTTCGCTTATCACGTTAAACTCAAAGGGAACTCCCATTAGTCTCGCGAACTTCTCCATCCTTTTCGCTATGTCCTTCATTACTGATCTTACAATGGCCACAGTCACCACAACCGTGAGCTTCAAATGCGGTGTCTCGTCATTTCTTGTAGCCAAGGCCTCTAGCAAAGTAGGCCATTGAGTACAAAGGGTGTTGCTCATATCAATTATGTGGAGTTTGGTTTCTCCTTCTAGGGCTTCCAAAATAGCCCCATTAGATGCCACATGACCAAAAGTTGTCCAAGGGCTCAACTCTTGGAACTTCAGTATCAACTTCCTAGCAGAATCGAAGGAGTGGCTCTTCTCAGCAACTGAATTTAGGGTTTTGTAACACCGTAGGCCGGATTCTGTAGCCCTACAAAAGAGAGCTTGCGAGAAATAAGATGCTAACTTCTGATCACAATCGCCATAAGGGGACGAGAGCTCGTTCAGCCTCCACAGAAGGTGATTGATCTCGGTAGAGTCCTTCGCGGAGATTGCTCTTGCACAATCCCTGAGAAGACTCGCTGCCCACTTCCCATCTGAGCCACAAGGCTCGCTGGAGTCTGATGATCGGCTGGTGGACGTATAGCTAGTCTGAGGCTGGTGGTTGGTGCTGCTTTTCATGTCTAGCTGATGAAGAACATTGCTGTGATGGTTGGTGTGTGTGAAGTGTGTGATGATTAATGGTGGAGCAAAGAGAGTTGCGTCCATGTTTTATGTAGGTCTAGCTTGATCGCTTTGAGGCTCCTTTGCAAGCTCAACCCCATATGGTCTTAAGTAGGATGAGAAGTGGCCAAGTACAAACCTATGATTTGGATGCCTTAGTACTGTTATATTTGGGGGTCATTGTCATGCTATTCTATATTGTATTGCTTATATATATATATATGTAATGGAATATTATCATACTTTGTGATCCAGACTGCATAACCAACTCATGAATCAAAGTTAGACTGGTAAGTTATTATCACATGAACTATGAAAGTAACATATATATATATTATAGCAAAATATGTATATATTCTAACAAAATTAAAGGCCAACCCGATAAACAAGACTCCTGCGTGATAAACAAACATAATTCATATAAACGGCCAAAAATATTGTAAGAATCAATGCCATAAAAACCAGATCAGAGGTCAGATTAGAAAGGCAATTCATTTATATTAACACAGTATAGCGCAATCAAAGAGAGTTTTTTTTTTTTTTTTTTTTTTTTTTTTTTTTCTTTAAAATATACATATATATATATATATATATATATATATATATATATAGATATATATATTATGGTTGATCAGCATAAGAGAGAAAAAAAAAAAATGAATTACTAAATTGTAGATAAAAGGCTGAAAACTTGAATATATGTATATATATATATATATATATATATATATATTTCCCAATGATTCATTTGATTATTCCAGCTCACTTGTTCAATATAATCCATTTCAGAAATGTACAACAGTTGCATGGTCTATCTTAATGCAACAAACTTTTTGCGAACCAAAAGAGAACAAAAATATAAATCCAAAAATGATTAAGCCTTTGTCTTCATAATTTTTATTTATTACGAAAGAGTTTTTGGTTACTAAATGGCAGCTTACTCATTTTTCTGATATATCAACATTTTTGTATTATATCAACATAATTCTATTATGTTTAATTATATTAACTTTATATTAGTTATAGTAACTTTTACTCTTTTCTAGAGTTATTGCTACAGTCGCTACTTAAGTACTGTAGAAACTCAAATATATATAATATATCATATCAACAAAATCATACGTTATTTAATTTTCTAGGGTGAACTTCCAGTGGGTGTAACCCTCAGTTTTATAAATTAAAGTAGTTTCTGAATCATCACCATTATTGGTTTTGTTGCTATGCACTAATCCTTTTCATACATAAAAATTACTCAAAAAGAAAATGTGTCTTTTATTTTTGTACTTAGCTTTTGATACTTTGTCGTCAATCCAATCCATTAGACCATCCTCATCTTATAAGTGCTACAAATATTTAAACATAAAATAATACTATCAACAGATCAATGCTACTTTTTCGTATTCTAAAGTAAAAGATAGGGAGTTCATGTCCTTAAATGAGATGCCAGGGTGTGCAGGTTTTTTTTTTTTTAAACTCCTCTTTGTTGTTATGCATCTTGATATTAGGGATAAAATGAAAAATAACTCCCTTAAACTATTGTTATTTTACAAATAATCCTCTGAACGAGTTAAATTACTGATTTGTTGTAATTAAGAACAAACTCATTAAAAAAACTATTTTACCACTTCTCATTAAATTTGTCATTTCTTATTAAATTATTATTATTATTTTTCTGGTCAATGTTAATTATACTATTTACCTTAATTTTATTATTAGTATCAATTTATCATTAAAAAAAAAAAAAAAAAATTAGATTTGTAACTACCATTTCTAAATTGATTAACTTATTATTAAATAATAAAATTTATTATAACTGGTTTAAACTTTTTTATAGAAGAAAAATACCTTCTTTTTTCATACAATATATTGATGAAAAATTAATAAATTATTTAAATAAAAAATACCTTTTTATGTAATATATATATTCATAAAAAATTAAGAAATTAATTAAAAAAAATTTAAAAATTATATGCAAATTTAATGGAGAATATGTCATCAAATTAGTATGAATTTTTTTTTCAAAATTTATTTCAATAAGAAAAATAATTTAAGTGTAATTCAACAGGAATAACTTTATGATCATTTAATGAAATATAATCTAGGCATTTTGCAACAAAATGTGATGTTATGCATAAAATGTAGTTCGTAAGAGTTATTTGCAAATTCAAATATAATTTTATACAGATTTTTTTTGCACTTTACCCTATTATTGAACTATATGACTTAAAATAGGTATATGTTAGACACACACCTAAGAAAATAAAAATAAAAAAAAATAAAAAAATTATTTACATTTTAATGCTATAAATGACATGTGATCTAATGATATTATGAGCATATTAAATAAATAATTTCAGTTTGGATAATAATTATTTCGCAAGCCCCTTCAAAGAAATGGCCCACGCCTGTCATCCTTGCTGCCTTTATGCATATTTTAGGACATACTCGCACTTTTTATTAAATGCAAAATATAGATTAGTAATTTAGTAAAAGTCCTTTATATATATATATATATATATATATATATATATATATAATGAAAATTGGTTCGAAGGAGCTTAGCCCACAAAAGTCATCCCGAGACGTGGGCGAGTTCCTTTTCCTTATTAAGCTCAACGATTATGGAAACCACACAAATTTTATTGGCATTATTTTCTCATCAACCCAACAGTAGGAAGAAAACAAGTAAAGTGAATGCATTTTACAATAACATATTCACATAAATATCATGTCAAAGAAGATAAACAGAAAAAAGGCACTTACCAAGAAAAAAAATAAACAAAAAAATAGCCTAGATAAACACTCTTGTACATTAACTTCACACATGGTGACCGTGCAAAATTTATTACTTTGAAATTTATTGAGATTTGACATATACATTCAATGATATTCCTCGAATTTTCATTCGGATAGACTGAATCTGTCAACTATCATGGACTGTTTGAACTCCTCACATGATAGGAGGCTCACCACGTGCCGATTGAGGGACGGATTGGGATCGACTCCTTCAACAGGGCCATGCCCAGGCATCGAACACCTGTGTTCTTTCTAAAAGACCTATTGATCAAATTTTACAAAATGATAATTTTAAATTTCCCTAATATACTAAGACAATAATAAACATATGTAGTGTAATAAAATGATAAAATAATATAAGGTCACTATTGACCTTCCATACTCAAAATCACTTTCCGTCAATCAAGAAACAGGTCTAGGAGAACTCAAGTGTCCTCCGTAATTTACCCAAATCTTAGAAAAAGTCAATTTAATTTACCTTTAATTTTACACCACTCAACAAAGTAGTTCACTTTCTCTATATAATCCTCACCACAGAGTCTGTCGAGAGCCAAGAACTCTATTTTTATTGCTGTTGCTGTTGCTAGGCTTATCAAAGTGATGCTGGGTTTAAAGCTTAAATTATTAGAGGGTGAAACATCAATTCCAAAATTAAAAAACACACTTGGGTAACATATCTTCAGAATCATCTTAATACTGTAGATACTCAAAATATCACACATCAACAAAATCATACCAACAGAGAACTTCCGATGGCTTCTACAGCTCAGCTTATAATTTAAAATTGTATTATAACCATATCACCATAACAGCTTTTGTTGTTGTTCGCTAATCCAATCCTTTAACACATCTGTAGCAAAACTGCAAAAGAATATTGAGAAATCGTCATTATACATGGCACTTTTACCTCAACTAAAGAAATATTCTTCGTCATTATTTTCTAATCAACCGAACAACAGGTACAAAACAAGTTAATGGAATGCATTTTACAGGAAAAAAAGAAAAGAAAAAGAGGTCAATCTACACAAGGTTTCAGGACTTTCTGATGCATGAACTTAATTCAAGTAATTTCAGTGGGAGCCAAACAGCCCCTCTAATAACGTAAGATAAATTAAACTAATTATAGATGCATATAAAAGTTTATAAATGTCCATTTAGCATCCATGAAAAGGAAAGATTTGGAAGGTGGATTCACCAAATACAGGGTATCAGAATTAGTTTATTCCGCCATCCAATCATTTGATAACTGTCTTTGCCTCAATTTCCTTAAATAATTACTTTGTTTAAAGAAAAGTCTCTATAAATGGTGATTCTATCTGGTACATATTATTGCAGCCTACCTTGTCTGCATGTGTTTTTCACACCCACACACACACATCACACTGTCTATGTTTAATCTAACAACTTTCATTAGTATTAATTAAAACAGACCAGCTGCCAATAAACATTAATCAAACTGTGTACACATTTGTGACAATGCTGAGATAAAGACACTTTGTAGCTTGTGAACATATCCTAACGGGATTATTTCAAGTAAATTCCTACGTCATTCCGCTGTTTCACATATTAATATAGTAAATAAACCATATTTGAATAATATCTATAACCACAATAATATAAATATTCATATGCTAAACCATATTTGAACAATATATATAGAAGCAATAGCCTAGTACAGCGTAAAAAGTTCAAGCTACACGTGTTTCAGTCCAAAGAACAGCCACTTTGTGAAACTTATCTGATTTTAACGGAGCTTCAAAATCTATAATATACCTGATAACAAGGAAAATGTTTTCAACTATAAATGAATGAGCCTCCTGAGACTAAATAGTAATTAAGTTTATCATCATACTCATGAGAGTGTAATGGAAGTTAAAAAAGAATCGTGATTTGCATTCTTTTAGCAACATCAAATAGAAGCAGAAAAAGGAATCTATATAGATCTTAGGGACATGACAAGGAATGAGTCAAGTAGGGTCAGGTTGGTTCCACTTCATGCAAGTCCAAGAACACACGAATCATCAACTTACTTGTATATAATTATTAAGCAGTATAACAAGTTTCAAAAAATTTATAGAAACATTAGAAAAGTTTGATATGACTAAAATAGGAAAAGAGTTTGCTTTTGCCAATCTAAAAGCCACATGACATGTTCCACCTAAAGTTCCACAGAAAGTAGAAACAAAGGTACAACTACTGTTTAAGGTGCCTGTGCCTCCACTAGCATATAAAATTTTCAAAACACACACACACACACACACACAAATATATTGTCATATGTAAATATTGAACACCTAATTACATCCTTCCTTTTAAATGACATGCCAGTGCTTAACCAATCTTTCACACAACTACTTTAGCCTATGTACCATAATCTTTTCATCAGTGAATAATGAGAAACATTTATATCAAACTACAAATATTATTTATAAGAGCAAAGCTATATTATAAAAATAAAAATAAAAAGGAAATGTACTTCTTAATGAACTAGAAACTAGGAATAATTGAAGTGAGAAAACAGAGAATGTCTTTAGCTTATGTTTGCTATATGCCTTCAAGAATATTTTGAAGAGATTAATTATAGATTCGGATCAAGACAATAACAGATACTAAATGTTCATGATAAGATGCACCGACTTTGACAGCTCAATAAGTTTAATGTTGTTTTGATGCAAATGATTTTTCATTTTGGGGGCCAATATGATGTAACCTTTGTCGAAAGCAAATCCATAAGAAGGCTTTATAGAACACTGCAACCTATAAAAACATGCTCTTAGAACTGTCTACATGGTAGTAAGGCTATTTATCATCTATAAAAACATGTTCTTGGAACTGTATAAATAGTAGCAAGGGCCCATGGCTATTTATCATCCTAAATATCATAACTTAAGCTTTAAGTCTTACCTTTCAACCACACACACAGATACATTAGAAATAAATCTCATCCCCCTTATGTATAGAGTGTTGAGAATTGTAGAACAGAGATAAACCTAATCTTTGACACTATTTTACACAAAATATCTAGACTCAGTTGTAATTAAAAATCCTATGCGATGGATTCTCTAGGTTTGGTTGACAAAAAATATTTTAAAATATGCTACATTACCAATCATACTGGCATATTATACTATACATCTATAGTACATGGACTTTACAAAGTAGTTGAAATACCCATGGGGACACACAATACTCAGGCATTGGAGTGGGATATGTATCCGACATTTTTTGTTGGACATGCACCTGAAAAAACACATCCAATAATTCATTTTTTATTGAATTATTACTTCAAAAATGAGCAAAATGCAATATTTAACATTACGTCACATAAAGAATTATTTTACTATAAAAAAATAAAATAAAAATATTAAATAATATGAATAATTAGCAGTGTCCATGTGTCCAGATTGAGGACTGGACGAATCTGACGTGTGAATACATACTAGTACCCGAGTCCAGGTAACATAGCTACTAAAGTAGAAGTGTTGGGAGTTAAAAACTCCTTGCATACTGTTAATAACACATTGTCATCCAATTGGAAAAGAAGGTTGCTATGAAATTATTATTTATTTATTTATTTGGAGAAGGGGGAAAGGGGGGAGACTAATTTAAAATATTATTAGTAGAACTGGAGTAGGATGGACCAAATAGAGACAAGCTTGTGGTACCGTTTATGATAGAATAATATCAAACAAGTTAAAAAAATAAATTTATAAGACAACTTAAGCTGCACCCTCTCCAACAGCTTAAGCTTTTAGATTCGATAGTTGTTTATATGGTATCATAGCAGGCAAGGTCCTATCTTCAAACCTCACCGTCACTCTGATAATTAAATTGAAATACGTATTGGACCAAAAGAAGGCCACGCATGGGGGGCCATGTTGAAGGATTTAAATATTTAAATTAACCATCTCTAACAGCTTAAGCTTTTAGAGTAGATGGTTGTTAACAACAACATTACATCATCTATCTTATACGAATGGTGTGCTGATCTCGAGGTGGATGATAGAAGTGACTACAAAAGACAGATTACTAATCAAAACTTGAGGAAGATATAAGGAATAGAGCCTATTAGTGATGAAGAGAAAAATAAAATAATAATAGAATGCAGTACTTTCCTCAGCAAGATTGTGAAGTAAAGGAAAATAATAATCAAGCTATATCATTTTCATGCACTTCAAGGAACTAATTAGGGGGAAGAAAAAGTTGACAGAGAGAGAGAGTGGGAGAAAGTTGTCACCATAACCACCACCTCTTGCACCATTCTCACTGTACAACTCCTCCCATCAAGACCACTGCGTGATGCACAAACACCTCCTATGTTTAATGGACAAGTTCATATAACTGAAGTACGATAAATGCAAAACTAGTACTAGTAAATCATTTTTTGGAAACTAATCTCCGCCAAGTTTTGTACGAAAAACTGAAAACTGAAAATTGATAAATTTACAATTTACGACACAGAGAAAACTGAAACCATAGACTCTTCAAACATCTATTAGTATTTCACTATTTGGACAAGTCATTAGAATAAACACGATTTTGAAATGGTGACACTAAATTCAAGTATTAGGTGGTGATGGTGGTCATAGAAGCGTGGTATGTTTAACATACACGCGGTGTTGACAAAGTCATACCCAACAGTGTGGCATTGGCCAGTCATGCTAAGTCAGGTTATGGTGCCAGTAATGGTAAAAAAATGTGGCTGTGATAAGTTACCAGTGCAATGATATATTGGTGGTGAAGCAGTAACAAGAACTGAAAGATGGGGCCACTGGTAATACTGAGATACTGAGATTCTCAGAAATTATATGATAGTGGATGTAGAGAATAACTGAATATATTAGTAGCACAATGGTCCCAATTACAATCTAACAAGTGATTTTCATAGTTTAAATGAAAGTACACCTGTTTTAATTCCATGCTAAATGTCAAAGAGAAACCTCAAAGTGATTGTCTACTTTACCTTGTGTCATAAATTGAAGAAAGTTGAGGTTGAAGAAATTGTTGCCCAAGGAATGAGCCATCCAAGTCCAGTGGTGAGAACTGACCGTTGTATTCCATTCATACTAGTTGATGGGTGCTTTTTCTGTGATATGAAGCTATAGTATTACACTAGAACAGAAGAGAGCGTTCAGCTTGCAGAAACAAAGCCAACTAGTCAAAGTCTGACCAAAGATGTTGAAGGGATTAACATAAGCAAAACAACCACAATCAAATATATATTATCATATTCACCAGAAAGGAAATTTAAATTTTAGAGAAAGATCCAAATCTGCTGCCAGGCAGGCAGACTAGAAACAAACTAGTGAATTCGACAGCTAGAGAGTAAATCACCATAAAGGGAGTGACCTTGTTGGCATATCACACATAGCGGTGAATAGATTGAAAATTTGACAGTGGCAGCACATACTATAACTTAAACCTGGGCAAGGAATAGCTAAACCATGGCAGTAACTATTAAGCTACAATCATAGAGAAACTCTACATCTTAGAGGATCTTTCAAATTCTGGCTCTTGTACTCGTAGTCCGCTTCCACTACCTTTGATCACAGAGAAATTAACTTATGATAAATGATACAAACTGAAATGGCATAAAAACCTATGAAAATCTAGAAAAGGAGTTGCACTGCAGAATTAAAGGCATTCAAAGAGGAGATACCATTCAAGCAAAAAAATAAAAATATATAAATCACAAGAGACTAGTTCATATTTCTGACACCGTAGCAACTATAGAACGAAGGACCATAATGGGGTGCATGGGTCAAGGACTGACACCATGTCTTGCAAATACATTGAATGTTTGGTTTCAGTTTTAAAAGGAAAGAGCATACATGCAGCCTGAAAAATTTTAGAGTTGAGACTTGTGCTTATACTTAATGTCTTCTAGTTATGACTGAGAATAGAACAATTCCCACTGAAGGCACACTTTTACAGTTGAGAGGGCCAAAGTAACTGTCTCCTGGAGTAGAGTCAGTGCATCCATCCTTTTGAGTGGCCTTCCATCATGTATGGTTCAAGAAATCCAATGAACTGCAACAATATAGAAATAGGTGATTAAAATCAAAATTTTGCTATTAGCAGTGACAGAATAAACACTATAGGCTCCATTTGTTCCAAAGAAAGTCAAATCCTGACATAAAACTTCAATTTTCAATTGGCTACCTGTTTATACAATTTCCTATTGTTTGCTAGGTGTTATCTTTAAACAGGTGAATTTTAGTCCACCTGATGGCAGCCAATGTTGTTTTACAGGGAATCATTTCAAAACTGTGGCTTGTCCTGTGTTATCTGAGAGAACTTTTTTCAACATCCATAGGAAGTTTTTTCACCACTTATATCCTGCCAATAGAAGCCATATATTAACATACATCTTGTCATCTAAAGTTACTGGTATTTATGCCTTTTTATGAGAATACGATTCGGCAATGAAACAAACACAGCCTAAGGAATGTTGCATATAATAACCATATTGTGCTTTTCCCGAATATGAACAGAGAACGAGGAGAAACAATGAAAAGAAAAGACAAAATAGAAAAACTTGTAATATAAAATAGCATTTCCTTGTTCAAAATGTTCATAAGACCAAGTTAAAAATATTACAAAGTCCAGCTTGATTTAAGTCACTTTCAAAATTCAAATTTTCCACCATATAAAATGGCAGTAATTCAAACCAATTTTGAAAAAAAAAAATCAAGTTATTATTAATTTCATTTCAGTTACAATCAGAACAAAAATGCCATTGCAATAACATTCTAATCTTTTTTCTAAAATCTTAATTATGCAAAAGAAAAACAACCTGCAAATTCTTTGGAGATTGGGTTGTCAAGATCTGATTTTTAACTGCACAATATTGAGATTCAGTCTGAGGTTATTTAAAATTCTAGCTTTCCTCTGGCCGCAAATCCTGTAGAAGTGTCAAATTTTAATCCGTCCTTTTAGTTATAATTTAAAAAGCATAAAAAAAGAACATCAATACCTTTGTTCCGTCTTCAGACCATCGAGCACCATAACCATCAGCAATCCTTATCTCAAAGACCACCCCATGTGGTGGAACAATATGCATATTTTGCCAGCAACAATGATCTATTAAGCGAGTAATGACATCAACAGCAAGTCTGTTTTTATCGGAATCTAGTGGAGGAAAAAAGAAAAAGCAACAAAAGATCAATCAAGATTCTTATTACAGTGATGAGTCTAACTAAGAAAAACCTTTTTCATTTCTTTTTATAAGATGTACAATGGTCATTAATCATTATCCTAAAAAAACACTACCTTAGCATTTAAAAGGAGAATCCACCATCATAACAACCCCAACCACTAAATACAAGGTGATGGCGTATTAACTGCACCAAATTTCTAACCAAAATGGAGGATTCTATTATTGAGTTAAATTTGCTATTGTCTTTAAAAAGTATAAAAAGTTACACTCCCAAATGTGTGGAATTTGATAGCCACCATTCAATTAATTATCCTCCCTCAACCCCAACCACTAAATACAAGGTGATTACGTATTTTATCTGCAACAAATTTCTAACCAAAATGGAGGATTCTATTATTGACTTAAATTTGCTAGTCTTTAAAAAGTTTAAAAAGTTATGCTCCCAAATGTGTGGAATTTGATAGCCACCATTCAATTAATTATCCTCCCTTAGCTGTTCCACGTAATGATACGATGGGTTTTTTAAGACCTTTTTAGGCTTATACAATCAAGTTTAGAGGGGGGAATACTCATGGTCATTCCCATATGCATCCAATATAGCTTCTCTAATGAGAGTATATGTGTTCCCATCAACATTTCTTTTTCCAAACAAAAGAGTAATTCATTGTGAACTTCTTAAACTAGAGATCAAGTTGCCTATATTAATAAGTTGGTGCTCATAAAGAGTATGTCAGCAGCCCAAAAGAATAAGCAAAGACATCACACCTTTTTCCTTTAGGAAAGAAACTTATATTCTTAATAGCATGTTATGAGGCATGAGAACGATCAGCGTTATGTTTACATGCAATAAAAACAACGTATCTATATTGAAGAGCCACATCAAAAAAAAAGGAACCAACCACTTCCATTGAAACTACCCCAGTATCCATCACTGCTCCTGTTGATGTGCTTAGCTAAGGCCCTAGCTCCATCAGTCAAGATGCTACCTTTAACCTGTAGACAAGAAAATGAGAATAGTTGAGCACTGAAAAAGGTGTCATATCATCATTCTCCTAAAGACTTCAAGAAAATAAATATATAAACTTTGTATATAAAAATAAAAATAAAAAAGAACTCTCAAGAAGAAAATGTTTTTCCAATCACTCTGATAAACAGAACATCTCAATGTCAATACAAAGAAATTTTTTGTTTCCAATCACTCTGATAAACATCCCAATGTGAATTCATAAAATACAAAAAAAAAAACAAGTGCACCACCATTTGGGTAAAGAATATCAAGTCACAAGTCTGTAAATGTACAGATCAGGGTTTTTCAGGTCCAATACGGTAGGTATCATTAGTGATGTCACTCGTCAGTGCAATTGGATGAAATGTACCATCCACACTATATAGATTTCTGCAATATATTTCTGACTGTACATTCCAGAGGACACACTGGAAGTCATTCTTTTATTTCTTCTACATGAGACCCATCAAATTGTTTGACCTACCTCCTCAGTGTATGTGCTATATCTAAGGTGCAGACAATGCAAAATAGCTGACTCATCCTCCTAGCCACATAAAACTTTTTAAATACAATCCAAACATCATCAACAAACCCAATTCTCTCTCCGTTTTCCTTTTTCCTTGTAATAACATGAAAATTTGCACCATCAAGAACTAAAAAAAATTAAAAGGAAAATTGTATTAACAAATAAAATGAAAAGAAAATAACTAATAAGATAATTATTACAAGTCACCATTATACCTCTGGATTATGAGGCAACAAAAATGACAAAAGCAGAGTTGATCTTGGCGGAGGAAGAGCCTCTGGAATTGTTCCTGCTGTACGAGTGAGACCCAAAAGCCTCTGAACACCCTCATAACTCAATCCCTGGATAGATATGAAAATAGTTTAACATACCACTGCAGGATCCTTGTACTATAAGGTACATCTCTACTCTAAATAATATAGATGTTTGGTATATAAATGAAGACAAGAGAACCCTATATGCACATGCAAAAAATCAAAGCAGATTCTTACCTGACCATATTATGTGCATATAAATGCATACGATATAGGAGTATAAAATGTAACAGTGGAGCAGCAACTAATATAGAATATAATAATCTGATAATTCTTTAACTTCACCTTTCACATTATACAATTCTCATAATAAAAATAGAAAAATTAATCAAGATTCTATAGTCACTTATATAATAAACGTATATAAACAAAAAATTATATTCATATTCTTGTGTTCATGCCTGACAATATCCTACTTTTCTAGGATCTGTTGTTTCTGCACATTTGTGTAGTATTATGTTCCGTGTCCAGACATCTATGTTACTTAACTGCAAATACACTTACCAAAAGTATGCTAGCCAAAGGAATGTAAAGCTGAGCAGCTGGCTTCGTAACACGAATTGCAAGGACTCCATTTGACCTTTCCTTCTCTTCTGTGTAAAACTTCCGGTAAATCTGCACACCTGAAAAGGTTGAATGTCCATTATTTGTGGACTACAAGTATAATAAGTTTTATAAATCACTTCAAAGTCAGGATTCTACTGGTCATCAGTAATTCTTTCATTTAAGTTAAGTGATTGCAGGATTAACTTAGCACGAAGCAGCAACAAGAAGAGGATATGATTTCTGACCAAGCAGGTTAAAAAATAAGCATGTTCTCTAAACTTCACTTAAAATAAAATAAAGCATGACATTATATGTGACATTATAAATGCTGGGGGCACTCAGGACATATACTCACGAATTCATTTGCTTAATTACTAGAGCTCATTACTACTCATTTAGCGTTTAACTTATAAAAGAGTCCTCTATCACATCACTTCTTCCTCTCACTCTTCTTAACATCAGGTTTGGATAATAAAATTGAATCTTCTGTCTCTTTGCCTTTTGCTTTCTGATAAGCTTCCCTGAAAGTTTCTGCAGTTCAACAGTTTACCATCCTTTCAGATTCCACACTGCATAACTGCTTATTATATTTGAAAATTTTCAACCAGAGAAAGGCCTATCAGGTAGCAAACCAGTAACTGCCAGGTTCATCGCAATATTGGCTAATATCAGACTGTACAAATAGTCATCAAAATGTTTTTTAAAATTAGAGGTTTGAATGCAGAATTTTAAATCTTCTCCCTCTCCAGATTCAGGTGATGGCCACTTTATGGTGTTATTTCAGAAGTGCAAATATCCCTGAGGGCCTGTATCTGTCTGATTTGTTTTTTAAAATTAGAGCAGTAGGTCCACAATCCTGTACTTTCTTTTAAGGAAAAAAAGAAAAATCATTTGGGATGTCCCGGATAGAAGAATGTCCATTTGAAATTTATGTACTTTTGCATATATTTTGAGATTTAAGATTCTTCAAAAGAAGAAATAACTATATATTCAAACAAATTCTAATAAACAACTCATGTTCACGAACCTTTATCGAACTTGTTCATGAACATGTTCACAAGCCGAGCCATGGATTGTTCAGGCTCGGCTTGTTTATCAAACAACCTCAAGCCAAGCTTTAATCAAGCCAACCGGGCTTTTCATGAATAGCTCGGCTCATCTGCAGCCCTATTGTGGTTCATTTACAATCAACAGCGACATCAAAAAGTAGCCTGAGTTGAATTCCTAATAAAATATGAGGCTGTTACCTTCTTCTGTGGTTTTTACTCCAGGAAGGACTTTTGCTAGACTCTCTGCTTCCAACATCTCAGAAAACGAAGCATACCTGATGACATCCTGTAAACTATTAAAGCTACGTGTGCAGAAGTGCATATGAAGAAAGTAAAGATGAACTGCAAGAAAATCTGATCACCTGAACTTGAAGCACGAAACACTTGTTGAAGAGAAGCAGTGCTCCTGATCCAATTCTGATAATCAAATTAAGGCAAAATTAAAGAGAGAAAAATGAATAGGAAAGCCCAATAAAGAATACGTAATTAATCTTAATTAGTATTCACTAATTAAAAAATAAAAGGCTATTAGTTTGACACCAGGGAAACAGATTTAACCTGCAAGGAGAACTAGATACACTAAATAATCAGGAAGAGAAGCATAATCCTTCAGGTTAAAAATAGGCAGCAAACACATCCACAGCAACTATTCTCCTTGTCCAATCTCAACTTAATTTTATCTTGTGACCCCATCATATCTTCCCCAGAAAATATTTTTCACTTCTCACCCAAAAGGAAAACACAAGAAACACTAACAAATTCCTACAGTCTATTTCTTTCTGTATGGACATTCTTTTTCAGCTCTTTAAGAAAAGTGAAGTATGCTCGTCTTAGTGAGCCACTGAGCCCTGAGAAGATTATTGTTATTGTTTAACACCTTCAACCTGACAAAGGCTAATAGGGTTTCAGTTGTGTATTAATTCACAGAAACTAAGTAAGAGCTGTTACATGGGTTGGACTCCACTACTCCCTTCTTCCGTCTTATAGCTTGGAGTACTCTGCTCCATTTCTTTCTTCTTTTTTTCTTTTAACTATCATCTTTTGTGCATGTCATTGCAATAAAACTCATGCGGTGGCAACTCCATGGATTTATATGTAACTTAAGGTACGTATTTTTCCAAACAAGTGATGTTGTGGGGGTTTAGAATCAGGAGTAAAACAGCCCCATTAAAGTTAACAGGCTCAACCAGACCCCAAAATTTTTTATTAATAATGTTGAAGACAGTTACATGGTTTGGCTTAAATTCATGACTTCCAATTGTTGTTCAGCATGCAGGTACACAACATAAATTAGTTTAAATGGATGAAGATGTACAAAAACCAAGAAACAAACTTCAATTCTCAAACCAACCATGCATATTTCTTATTTTCTGTACTCTTTTGTGTTCTTGCATGTCTCTGTTGCATCTTATTCAAGTGCATTTATTTTGGTAAAAAACATCTAAAGTCTTAAAATTAAGTTTATTACTACTTTCTTCTTTTCTTGTCTTCTACGTACCTATAGGAGAATAAAAATAATAATAACAAAATCTTTAAATAAGAAATCAAATTTAATAAGGGATTTTAGAAAAGATTTCAAAACTTAATATGAATGGAATAACTGGAGTTCATACTTAATTTGTTTTCGGGCATTGTGTACATTTGAAATTTACTGAGTATTTGAGAATGCAAAATGACTAACAAGTGAGTTGATTTGTCATTTAAAAAATAAAAAACAGAAAATGTATGTAGTTCCTGTGTTATAGCACTTGTGAGAAAAAGAAAAGGCATTTGTAGCATAACTCCTAAAAAGAAAGCATAGACACACTGTACTTTTGGTCCATCTATTTTATGCATAAACTGTGCATACATATGATCATGATGTCAAATTATGAATATGAGCTGTAATTGCAACTCAAGGTACATTATTATTCATTATGAAACACTTTTTTAAGTTTATTTTTATTAATTATTTGGACAGACGTACTTACTACCCATATAGGGAAAAAGATGACTAAAAAAGAAACATAATAAAACCGATGGAAGGAACCACCAAGAAGAAAGTGGACAACTACTATACTTAATAATATATTTAATTACAGAGACACATGTAAAATCAAAGCGCCTTTTTTAGACCACAACCATGCCTACAACATCATATCATATACTAATATGCCTGACATTTAGGGTATTGCAGGTAAAAAGTAAAAACAGGAACTTTCCAGGAATTTCCTCTGTTTATATATATATATATATACACACACACACAATTATATACGTGCGCACGCTCTTGCATGTGTGTTTTAATATTCGATAATACCTGTTCCCTAGACTTCTTTTTGTTAATTTCTTGCTCAACTGTTAAAATGATCTGTAGTGTTCTTATGAGTATAACTGTATAACTAATAGCCCTTATAAGTTTATACCAAAACGGGCAATACGTACACACAATTATTGATGTAGTTTTTTTTTATTATTATTATGCAATATAATTAAAACCATAATATAACTTTTATGAGTTTTTTTATTTTTTATATATTTATTTGTTTTTTTGTTTTTTTTAACCTTGGTAAGAAAATTACACCCCTATTGCAATTATACCCCTATAAGGAGACTCAAACCCTTGACCTTTTATTTTGAAAGACGAAAACCTACCACTACACTACAAGTGCCAAGGTAAAAAAAAAAAAAAAAAAAACAAAACTTGTCATCAATGGGGTATTACCGTATTAGTCTCTCCTCCAAAGAAGAAATTGAGTATTACAGCTTTGTTAGAAACAATATGGATGGGGGTGTATAATACATGTGAATGAAAAACGCAAAAAATAGACAAAAGCAGAAGTGAAGGTTGGATTTTTTTATTGTATTTTATAAATTTCAACCAATTTCTTTTCTATGATATACATACAATGTACAGTATTGTTTGAACTCTGAACTCTCACGTCTTACAGAGAAAAAAACAAAAAACTGGAATTTCACACAGATTTTCTGTTTACACATACATGGAGATACGGTTATGGAAGTGAACAACTGAGGCATAATCAGTGTTGACACATACATGGAGTTAACAGGCTCAACCAAACCCCAAATAAGTGTGATCAAGTTTGTATTACACAGACTAAATCTCTTATTTGATGAAAAATCTAAACCCATCTACCTTGGGTACGTTGGCAGGTCCAAGTTCAAATTTGTCACATTGATCAATGATAATGACAGAATTGTCAGAAGGATTATCTGTTTGAATGTCTATTTAGGGGTTCAGAGAAGTTTATTCTGTTTGAAACTCTAAATACTTGGTTTACGTTGAGCTTGATTCAAATTTCAAACTAAACCAACCCAAGTGGGACCTGTAACAGTTACATAGTATTTGATTTATGACACAAAAGAAGAGAGCAACGTGAAAAAAGAATGTAAAAAAATTCAGCAAAGTGCATTATTACATAATTTATATACAGAACTAAAATAAGCCATACTTATTATAGTCACCAACAGCACATCTTCCTTCAGTTGTTTTTAGGCCATCTGCAAGCAATGCCAAGTTATCAAGATAGAAACAATGAATAAATAATCATTCATCAGATAGAAACAATTTATCAAGAAATCAAGCTCAAAAGCAATTAGGACTTCCACAGTTAAGCATCAAAATATATAATCCAGTTATGGGCCGCCATGTACTTCTTAATACAAACACACAATACCTTTGAGCTGGGAAAAGAAAGGCTCCTGAACATGAAATTCAAAGTCAATAGTTTTCAACATCTGATAGAAGGGCATACAATTTGTTAACAACAATGACACCAATGTATCATAAATAAATATAATAAGAAGGAAAACAGAAAATGATTGACATCATCACATTTAACTTACATTTACTAATTCAGACCCCTTTGCTAGAACCAATTGATTCCACTTTTCTTCTTTCTGCTTCATGGAACTGTCTTCATGGATCAAAGTTCCAGAAGATATAGACTGGTACAAAGCTGATGCTAGAGGCTTGCGTAGAGGATATTGAGAAACACCTCCGGAAAAATCTGTAACAAGTGTGAATGAAAATTTTATTTCCTTAATCATAAATGCATTGGCCACCAGATTTGTGTAATCTATTGTCAAAATTAAGCTTCATTCTACCGCAACATAAGGTGTTTCCACGACATAACTACAATTCAATAATGCTTCGTTTCCTACCATGTGCATGGCAAGTGCCACACACCAGTAGCATTATGTACCTCAGCTTGGATCACCAATCGGATTGGCATGAAATTTGGATTAAAAAGTTGGACAAAATTTAAATATTTGACTGTTTTAGTACTTTTTTAATGATTCATTTCAAAATTGAGTTAACTATAGAGAAGCTAGGACAAAATTTAAATATTTAACTGTTTTAGTACTTTTTAGAAAAATATTGCTGCTTGTTTCTTATATTGGTTAGTATAGCTGCATAGATTCCGAAAGTTCTTTAACATGCCAAGAAAGATTCCAATGGTTTATAATTAAGGTCCACAGTACAAAAGGATTCACAAGTTTGATTTGTACTAAATATGTCTCAGATTGTTTGCCTCTTTTTCATTCCTACTCTCTTCTTCTTCGGCTTCTATCCGACTTCACTTATTTGAGCAAGTTACTAAAACAATATTCTTTTTCCTGCCCAAATCCCACATCAACTACACACCAAATGGCATTCAGCCCAGCGCATGTATGTATATATATGTACCTCAGCTTGGATCACCAATCGGATTAGTACTTTTTTAATGATTCATTTCAAAATTGAGTTAAGTATAGAGAAGCTAGGCCAAATTTATGTTGACTACAATTGAAAAATAATAATAATAATCCAATAGTCTAAATTCAGATAATTTCAACAATACAAACAAATTCAGATTCAGAATAGGCCTCCAAACTGCCCACAAATTCACAACTTACAAACCACGTCCCCACCCCATCTGAATTTGGCATGCATAAATAAATGGACACAACAAGCTTCAGGAATCACTACCTTAACAAAGTAATTGAGCTATAGATCAGTCATTCATTTCTAAATAACACAACACTCAAGAACAGAAGCTCTACAAAATTAACTGAATTATACACACACATACTACACATCATAGCTGGTGACTTGAGTAGGGAAGAAGTGTGTGTGTGTGTGTGTTGAGTAATGAGTTTTGTGGAAGTGTAGATAGTGAAGATTTGATTTTGATGATTAAACATGTACCGGTGTGATTGCAATTGGGGTTTGCAGGGTCGTTCTTGAGGAGGTTAGAACAGTACTCCTTTGAAAGGCCTATATCGAATCCTAGGGTTTCGTCGATTAAGGACGCTAGTGTAAAGTTGAGCACCTCCTCTATGCATTCTTTGAGTTGTACCGGACTGAGTCCTGGAGACGATGGCTCTTCGTGTTCCTCCATTTCTCACACTTCAATTCTCTCTCATCTTCAATTCAATTGCAGTCTATCAGATGTGCTGTTGCTATGATCTTGGTGCGCCCAATCCCCCTCCATTTTTTTACTTGTTCGTGTGAACTATCTTTCGTTTTTTTTTTTTTTTCTTTTTTTAAGTGCCTTTTGTAATGGAGATAGACAAACCAACGTGTAATTTAAAGCTGCAGGAGCTTATTTTCTTAAAGTCACGGTCCAACAATTTTAAGAGCATGAACAAAGTCGAGAAATAGAGTTTAAATTTTACCAAGAAATTTTATCATTTGGCAAAATTTCACTAACTTAAGTAATTTAGATTATAAGAAAGTTGAGGTATTAAAAAAAAGGAAGATTTATTTGTTTTGCGAATGTCAGTAAGAAAAGATTAATAAAAAATCAATATGGTCTAAATAATATTGCCCATACCTCTCAAAATAAATGGCAAAGATTAGAGTTCCCAAATAAACAAATTGGCATTAGAGAAAATAAGTAAAATTTACTCTTTATTATTTTGAGACATAATATTATTGTTAGTGGTTTACCAAATTTGTGACTCAATTTCTTTAAAAGTTAGAAGCAGAATTATAATAATCAACATTAAATTAAATTTAAAAACAAAATAATATAAACTTCGAATATTTTCCAAATTCCAATATGAACAAATATTATTAAATCCTCTAAAATTTCAGTAGTTTTGTTAAATTTAAGTCTACAAAGTTTCATTATTTAGTACATATATTATAATAGATTTTTTTTTTTTTTTTTTTTTGTAATATTATTAAAACGGTTCCCGAAAAAGGGCATCTTTTTAAAAGGAGAGGGAGTATTTACTAGCATGTTATTAATATTTTAAGCAATCTAAGCAACACAAAAAATCCAAAACATGTTTTATTTGTCACGTGTTTTCTCTTTCTTTCTTTTCTTAAAATGATAGGGTCACCGAATGATTTATCCGAATAAGTCCCGGATCTGACGTGTTTTTGTCCACCTCATTTACTAAAATAGTTTCCAAAAAATAATTGTTTATACGTGATAAGTATAGCCAACCACGTCAAATTCGATATTATTTCGAGAATTCCTTTTCGATTTCTCTATTATTACTCTTTTTTAAATAATCATTTTTTGTGGATCTCTTTTGACATTATTATTATTATTTTAAAAAATATGCTTTTAACAGATCGAATATTCCATTAATATAATCAACTATAAATTTATTAAGGGCGAATTGCAAAAAATTCCCTCAACTTTCACCTGTTAGCGGAACCCCCTTATGAATTGTTTTAGCAAAAAAATCCCCTTAACTATAATGAGGGGGTATTTTAACTAATGTTTGTTTAAGGGATTATGTTTTGGACGAAAATACCCCTTAAATAGTTACCTTCTTTTTTCTTTTTCTTTTTTTCTAACCTCTCATTCTCTTCCCTCCCACGATCGCCACCACAACCCACCTTAAACAGGATGAAATATATATATTCCACAGTTTATATATATAATGGATAATTGAAGCCAAGTGAGAGGAGAGAGAAATAGGATGAAATCCAAAGGAAAAATCTTGGATTTATTACAGGTAGAGGCATAATTAAGGATGATTTGGGATTTTTGATGAATTACTAATGGATTGTTTTCCCCCAGGTTTTAACATGAAGGTCTTGAGAGACTCTATTAAGTTTGCCCATCAAAAATTCCTTTTGAATTCCCAATTATTTAGTTTAAATCAGATGGTTTATTAACTAGTGAAACCACCTTTGAGCCATTCATGAACTGTTTAGGAGCATAATTCATTAAAATCGAAGTCTCAATGTTATGTGGTGGGTTATGATGGCGATGGTGGGATGGAGGAGATTAAGAGGTTAGGGAGAGTAAGTTTAAAAAAAAAAAAAAAAAAAAAAAACCCACCACCTTCGACTTTCACCTGGTAGCAAAACCCCCCATGAATTGTTTTAGAAGAAAATCACCCCTGAGGGGTATTTTAACTGATGTCTGTTTAAGGGTTATGTTTTGACTGAAAATACTCCTCAAACCCTATCCCTCAGTTTGTTGTTGTTGTTGTTTTTTTAATGAATTATTCCTCGAAGTAAATTTTTTTTCCCTTGTCGTCCTTTTGTCGTTCACAGTTCAGTTCCATTCCTGAATTTGAGGTCAGTAATTTATCTTTATCAATTTCTCTTTGAAACCATTAATTTATCTTGAGAAACTTGTGTATTACTACTACGTATATATTAATCTGCGTGTATTGATGAGTTCCAAAACAGAATGGAACTCAATGCCCGTCTTCTGAGGATTTGGGCAAGCATGATTTAACGAGTTTCTTGCATACCCTTTTTCATGATTTCAGAGTTTATATCCATTCAATTTCAATCGCTTCCTTTAGGTATTTAAGATTCAGTTTTTAGGATGTTGACTTGTTTAATTCTGAGTGAATCTTCAGCAAGTTTCAGACTAATGGAGCTAAACTTTTGTTATTCTCTGTAGTTTTGGTTCTTGTTTGCTTCAATCATTCCAAATTTTGAATCTTACCTTTTGTAAATTGAGGTGAAACATGCCCTCAAGTATACTAATTTGGATCAAGTCACCATATAAATCTTTATGTGCACAAATTTGGATGCCATTAAGACCCTTCACCATTAGGGTAGCACTCCCTCCCAAATCCATATACAACCCCTCTTTTGGCACTCGAACTTGGGGTTGTTTTTGTTTTTTTGTTTTGTTTTGTTTTGTTTTGTTTTTTTTTTTTTTTTTCCCACAAGTCCATGGAAGACTTTTTCCTTACCCTCCTCATCATTGATATCTGTACTGTCATTTAAGTTCCATCTAACTCCATTATTTTTCATTCTCAATAGATTATGATTATTCCTATGATTGAAACATAATTGCAATCTGCTATCCTTGCACTAAATTAGGAGTACAGCAGTATTTCAAATGGTGCTCTAATTTCCTTCCATTTTTTTTCCCCCTTACCATACTTCTGTGTTTTGGTTTTCGGCTATCTTGTATAGCTGATTATCCGAGGGTGTTCCAGCCTTTTAGATATATCAATGCGTTCAATGTCAATTTTGAGCGCCATTTTACCTTTATTTGGATGAAGCACAGAGTTGATGGGGACTAATACACTACCAAAATGTTGTGGAAGAAAGTTTTTCTTGGAATAGATTTTGATTATGAGCTGTTTGTTTTGTATCATCTATCTCTTGCTGATAGGAAAATAAACATAGATACATGACAACGTAAGAATTCAAAGGGATTCCCTTTCGTGTTTGTCTGATTTGAGGGAGAAGATCCCGTTGAGTTAATAATAATAATATGTTATTTTTTTCTTAGATATGGCCTTAGATATGGTCGAATGGAGAATGTCTGTGGACCATCTCCTTTGGGTGGTTGATTCTGAACTAGTAGAATTTGGTGCATCTATATTGTGTCTACCGTATTGGTCTATATAGGGATCCTGAATAAGAGGATGCATCCATTCTTATTCAGAATGGGCAAGACTTAACTGGAGCACCAAAAACAATAGAAGAGATGTATCGTACTCAACCAGTAAAAAAAGCATTGTATAGAATTCAAGTTTAGATACAAAATGATATCCAAAAATACTTCACAGAAACATATGTTAAGCATATTTCTCATCATGATTAGTTTACACAAGATGGAAAATAATATAGAGGGCAGTAAAATTTTCTTGCTGATCATGATTTCTTAAACACCAGAAGTAGGAACATCTTTCAGTGCTTATACACTATTATTCAAACAAGGGCATGTAATATACGGAAAAAACAAAACCTTAACCACCATATTTACTTTGATAATAGATATTGGACATATGACAATGATGATACACTACTATCTTGATAAAAATTTGTCGAAGTTGAAGCAGCATCCCACGGCCCAATGTGGCCAGCTACCCCCAATTCAACCTCTTCATAGTTTTGTTGAATAGTAGATGCTCCATGTGGCATTCTAATCACTTCCACCTCTGTTGCAACTTCTTTCATTGTAGGCCTTATTAACCTCCATTTCTGTTACAAACATTTTAATAGAAAGATTGGTATTTTAAAATTTTAATTTAGTAAAAATTGAAGTTGACTAACATTAAAAGTCAATGGAGGGGAAAATTTGTTAACGAATCATAAATCTCAAAGAACACCAGTGCAAGTTATGAAGTTAAATGGAAAGGTTTTTGAATTTTGGAAAAATTATACTAAACTCTCCTCTTGTAAGCATTAATTATAAAAATTTCTCTTATATTTTTAGAAATTACACCGCACTTTTCAGAGTTTGTCAATTGTCCCATAATTTTGTTAGCGTTTATTTATTGACAAGTCAACAAAATGTGAAAGGGGCTAAAAAAATGCCAATATTATTATTTGGCGAAAGGAAACTAAAAAAAAATACCAATTTAACTGACACGATCTACATTTACCAATTATTTTTTCATGTTTTATTTTTCTTCTTATTATTATTTTTTCCTTATATTTCTTTCTAATCATTGTTCGTGGATCCCCCTTTCACATTTTTATTAATTTTTTTTTATTAGAAAAAAGCTCTTAATGGATTGAATATTCGATTAATATGCCGAATATAAATTTATTAATGAATTAATCCTCAGATTATCAGTTCCCACGTCGCTTACACGATATAAAATCTTAGAGTTTATTTAAACCAAAATTAGAAGATTGGGAAATCCATTATTTCTGTGTCATCTGCATTCCTCATCTTCTTTTTGCTGTTCAGTTCAGTTCCACTTCTGAATTTGAGGTCAGTAAGGAATCAATAGCTTATTTTATCAATTTCTTTTTGAAACTATTAATTTTATGTTTAAGATTGTTTTCTTGCTATATATTTCATCTCTTGAGGTTAAAAAGTTTTCTTTTTGAAGAAATGTGTGTGTGGTTATATATTTATTAATATGCATTTATGGATCCCAATTGAAACTGAACCCTTGTTCTGAGGACGATTTGATGAGTTTCTTGTATACCCTTTTCATGATTTCAGAGTTTATAGCCATTCAATTTCAATCACTTCCTTTAGGTGGTCTACATAAGATTTTAAGATTCAGTTCTTAGGATGATGATTTGTTTAATTCTGAGTGAATCTTCAGCAAGATTCAGAATAATGGAGCTAAAATTTTGTCATTCTCTGTAGTTTGGTTCTTGTTTACC